TCCTCATATATTTGGAAACACCTTGTAACAGTGTCTGGGGAGCTGGAGGTCTCCATCCTGAGGATGGAATGGATGCGGATAGCTGGTGCTGCCTGGGGACAGGAGCAGAGACCAGGAGGCCTCCTGAGGTCCCCTCTGACCAGCTTTTCCAAGGAGGGTGCTGAGTGTCCCCCAGCACCCCTGTCCCATGGCACCAGCAGCTTGCACCTGCCTGAGACAATCGGCTCTGAGGACACAAACAGACATCACTCACCTCCCAGCACCCCTTGGGTTACAAAGTGAAGAACTAAGATGTTTCTTTAAAAATAAAAATTTAAAAAAGAAGTAGCTGCTTTCATTAAAAAAGTCTGAAGCGTGCTTGGGCCGCGCCGTTGCACAGCAAGTGAGTGACCCTGCGCACGTCTACTGCCCTGGTCGCAGCCCAGGCCTTCCCCACCAACTCCCCCTGCACAAGGAACCGCTTTAAGACTAGATAAAAATTCAAAATATTTAAATGTCCTGGTGCGAGAAGCTGCTCCCCTGCTGGGGGAGCTCTGCGGGTGTCTCCCACCAGCCTGTGCTCTCCCAGGGAGAAACAGAGAGGCAAAATAACTTGCAGAGAAGTGCCCTTACAGTCAGAAGTTGTTTTGCCTGTTTTAATGATACGCGTGGGGAAGTTTTTTTTCCCCTGAAATAATTAAAATAGCCTCTTTCACACATGAGAAAGGAGGAGAGGGAACTTGTCCAAAGAGCCCCTTTCCCTCTGCCTCCCCTTCCATGGCACAAGGACTTTCATCTCAGTACAACTAAAGCAACTGAGGTTTTTCCTTAAGGCCCCTGGGGCAGCCATCCAGTAACAAAAGCGAAGTTAAACAACTCCAAACAAAAGCAGCAGAAGAAAGGGGGTGTGGTGGTGGAAATAACGCCCGGTGAATTTGGAAAGTTTAATGATGATACATGGAAAAAGTTAAACAATTAGAAGTTGAATCAGTTTGGCCCCAGTCCCACCTCATTTAGAGTATAAACGGTGCCCTCCATCACATTTGATTTTCGCATCAGTTTTTCCAGAGTGATGAGGAGCCTGGAGGAGGCTCCCATGGTCTGGGCAGGTCAGATGGCGGCTGCTGTGTGGGCCGGGGCTAACGGGGGGGGGTCTCAAGGGGCCCCAGCACACCCAGGCTCCCCGTGTCCTCCTCTTCAGTCTCACACCCAGAGATCACCCATAGGGCTGAGGCCCCCCAGCAGCTGTACCGGGGCACAGGGGCCGAGGAGCACAGCAGCTATGACACATAAATACATAGACATACATATGCATTCAAGTGTGAATGGAAAGTCACTAACTAGGGAGAGAGTCATAAGCATGTTAAGTATTTGAATACACGCACTAATTAGACATGTAATTGCACAGACCCATAGATGTCTATGGACATCTTTTATGCCACGTGCATATATTCAGCGGCTTTGTCTTTTAAAATATTTTAGGCATATATAAGCAACAATTTCCATATATGCATGCTTTCCAAATAAAACCTTTTAGATTAAATAGCTGTTGGAGGCACTTAACTCCAGCTATATAAGCAAACATCCCTCTGTCATACATACTGCTCAATGCTAGCGAGCCTGCCCTCATCCTCCTGCTCCTGTGGGGACTTCTGCAGTTCAAGGGTCAGCAGTGATGGGGTGGGACAGGGTTTTTGGGTCCGGCTTTGCCCCTGCCGTACTGATGTCACAGCTCCGTGCTCAGGGAAGGAGCCTGGGCAGTATCGCAGCCAGTGCTGTGCAAGGGGATTTTGGGGATGGCTGTACCGCAGGTTACATTGTCTGTGTGGAGAAGGGGGTTTGCCAGCCTGGGTGCTGCCTGGATCACTCCCACAGTGACAGGGCAGGTGACATCCCCATCCCTGCAGAGCTGCAGCTCCTGGTCCAGCGAGGGCCTGGGCCATTGGGTGGGAGAAGGCTCCTATTGAGCATCTCTGGGCTGGTTAGCACTGTGAATAAATCAAACCCACTGGCCTTACATGCAGGCAGATACAGTAAAGCTCTGGACCATTGCAGGATAAGCCGTGTCACACCGATGGACAGGAGCTAGGCACTTGCAGGCATTCACGTATCAGGCAGAGACGCAACGGCTCTTCCCATTTCTGCACACAATGGGACGCAGGGTCCCAGGAAGGTCTCAGAGATTAAAAGCAGCCCAACCACCCCTTTCTGCCCCCAAAAACACAGGCTAAATCTCAAACAAGTCTCTTGAAGCACAATGTCGCGAGAAGTGCAGCTCTCCATCTCTCAGACGCTTTTTAAAGTTTATCCAGTGTCCTCCTTACCTGGATGCTGAGGGACCCCCTGCACATGCAGGTACTGCCACGGGAGGCCCGGCTGGGGACCAGGCAAAGGCCAAGCTACACAATGCAAGACAGAAAACCAACAATCCAATTTTATTTTGCATTTCATACAAATGGCTCCTCTCCACATTTTACAGCGTTAAACAGCATTACCCAGTGACACAGGAGTCTCATTGGCAGCTCCTGCAACCACAATATCAAGGACACAGCCTGAAGCCAGGAATCAACACACCCTGGGACTGGGCTGCATGAAGTGAGGGGCTTTAGCCTCATCTGGGGGATCAAATGAGTTGATTACTCCCAAAAAAGGGTATCATAAGACAACCGCATTCAAAAATTGATCTGTGGGAACTCGGGATTTAAATGAAAAGCTCCGTGGACAGTGCTCCCAGTGCTGTACTGGTGCAGCAGCCAGGTGAGAACACCACGGACGCCGTGCCAGCAAGCCCGCTCACTTTGGTGTTCAAAACGAGGGCAATGAAACAATTTATGAATTTCTATACCATTCCCCTTGCCAGGGCTGCAGGACACCTGGCATCCCTGCAGGACACAAACCTGGTGGAGTCAAATGGGACCAGAGCTGCAAAGACCGAAACACAGCACCAGCTGGCAACCACGGAAATTGGGAAAAGCCTCCAGGGGCCATTCACGTCATGAGTTTTCCATTGCTCAGCTGAGCTGGATTCAGTCCTGGGTCTGGGTGAAGCCTAAACTTTCAAGGCTTCAGGCACCAGAGCTCAGCCCAGCAATGCGTGAGGTTAATGGAGGAATTCAGACAAATGCTGCTGACAGTGGCCAAGGAACGAGCTCCCAGCAGAGGGCTGCAAGCAAGAGCAGTCACACTTCCCACCTGATTACTGGGAGTCTCCTGCTCATTTACAGTTGTCCTAAGTATTCCCTCTTGCAGATGGTCCAACCAACTGAGCAAGGCTACACAAGAACAAGAAAAATGAGGCTCAGCACTGAGATAAAATTTTCCCCATGTTTCTTGTACTTTAATAGTTACAAATCCTGATGGCAGAAGCAGGGGGAGGTTGCTGCTCTGCTGTGAGCAGGATCATGCATAACTGGTATCACTGCGGCTGTGAGCGGTACCCAGCTGGGATGCAGCATAGGGCAGCCCAGTCCTGCCAGGCACAGGGCAGGAGCTGCTAAAATCCCTATAAGGCACCACACAAAAAGGTCTGAGAGTGGCCCTATAACACCCTAACATCTTTACTCCCTCTGGGGTGCAGCACCTGTAGGAAGAGGTGGCACGTCTCACCCCAAGCTGGATAACGTTCCCGACCCTCCTCCAGCCCTGCATGTCTCAGACTTCTGTTATGGAGAGGCAGAAGGGCAAGGAGTGCTTTGGCCATCACCCCATCTCTTATTTTCCTTTGCCACAGAAGCAAAGTGAGCACAGATATTTCTTTTTCTCCTTTACATCCTCCTCCTCTCAAGCAAGGACAAGGAGGGAGGCTGTCACAAAGCAGAATAAACCTCACGGTACCAAACACACGGTTCCTATCCCTACCCATGGTGGCACCCAGCAGCTGGGTGACTGAGCTCACTCTGTCCTCCAAACAACAACATGAAAAAAATCCCACATTTCTCCAACAAAGCAACATCCCAAGATCCTCAAAAAACTTTTCCCTGTCAAATAAAGTGGACAATACACCTGGCTGACAGCGCAGCCTTGGGAGATGGGTACAAATCTGAACATGCTGCTCCTGGACTTGGGGCTCACAGCTGGGTGCATCGCTGCTCCAGGTACCTCCCAAGTGCCTGGAGGGATTTTGTCACCACCACCTCCTGGCTGCAGGGCAGACCCAGATGGTAGCAGGCTGGGGATCAAGAAATAAAGGGCTACAGAAACAAAGCAAAAGCTGGGGAAGAGTCAAAGAGCCAAAGCCAGGAGAGCTGCAGGGAAGGAGCAGAGGAAGGGGGAATAGCTGAGGGGGGCTCTGTACTATTTCGGTGTCCTTTAAAGGTGCTGCTTGGGTGATCAGGTAACAGATCAACTGAACTGGGAGTGAAAGAAGGAAGAAAAAAGCCTTGTTGCATACTCAGTGTGGAGATCTCTCAGGAAACTTGGATCCTGATCCACATCAGCCACAAACTGCAGAGCCCTGATCCAGGGAAATTCACAACCAATACTGTTCTAAGAGCGCACATCTGCTAGGATGGGGCTGAGCCAGGGACCCCAACCTATCAGTACCACATCCCAGATTCCTCAGGGGATCAGGCTTTAATCGCTGGGGCAGCCGGAGGGCAGGGGATTAAGGTCAGGATACAGGAGTCAACTTCTTTTGTTAAAGTGCCTTATTTTCTTTGAGCTTTTACATCTTCCTTGTTTTTTCAGAAGGAGGGGGAGGCGGGGTAAGGGCATACTGGTTTTATGTGAATCAGAGTACAGAATTAATCAATATTTACACAGATCCTGGATAAGGTTAAGGCACAGACTAATAACCCAACACAGCAACCCAAAAAGCAGAGTGTCAAAAAGAAGGAAAAAACTTGTTCATATGCTTTCAACACCACCTCCAGAGATCCCAAGTATAAATGGTTTTATCTAGGAAAAGGCATTTTAACTTGGGCTTTGGTAATCGGGGTTGATTACAGCCACATTGCGCAGCCGGTCGGGAGGACGTGGGTGGGCGCGCGGCCGCCCGACCTCTCCGGAGCACAGCCTTGGCTTTAGACCAGTTCAACTTTAGCGTTGGGATAAACAGCCACCACGTCATATCCCTCGGGGGGCTTAACCCTCTCCTTGGCGTGTGTCTCACAGTACAGCTGCTCTTCGATGAAGAAATACCCTCGCTGCTTCAGGTTGAGGCCGCAGTCATCGCACATGAAGCACTCAGGGTGGTAAAGCTTGTCCCGAGCTTTGACGATTGTGCCCCTGGGGAGAGAGGGGAAGAGTTGGGTGATATGGGGCAACAACAGGCAAAAATAGCTTTTCCTGCTGCCACTCAAACAGAGTGAAGTGGCATGTAGGGACACGTAAGGGTGTTATTGTGGGTCCCCATCCCAACATCTCAGCCCACCCAAAGCTGCCACCCCACTCCAGGCGCAGCTCCACCATATTACTACGGGAAGGGATCCTCCATCCCAGCTTGTCCACACTTCCCTGTGGCACCATTCCCTGGCTTAATGCAAAGCTGAGCCTCAAATATCTGTGCTCAGCCTGGATCTGAACATCAGGAACCAGCATCTTCCATATGCTGCTGGCAGGGCTGGGGCTGCTTTTGAAGCAGAGACCATCAGCTCACAGTACCAGCGAGAATGTGGTTACAGGCGTTTGGAGAGCAGAGGGCTCTCAGTCACCAAATCTGGCTTGAGCAGAATGTAAATTACAACAGAACATAAATTACGACATGATGAAGCAGAAAAATGCCTATATCCTTCAAAATCAGACCCAGCATCCATCCGTCAGAGAGTAACTCTTCAACAAAAACAAAAATAATCTGCAGACGTCTTCTACTTGACCCTTAAAGCATTTCTCCCTCTGTAAGGCAGCGAAGGAGTGCCAGCACCACCAGCTCTTTAAGAAGAGCCAGGCAGTTACTATGATAAGCAGGGCAGAAACCATGAATCAGCCCCATTTTGCTGCAAGATTCCCTTAAAAGGGGCATTTCAAACCATACTCCTCAATACCAGGTTTATATACGGTTAGAAAAAAACAAGAAGGGATTAAAGGTATTCTGATATAAATTCAAGGTATTCTGCTATAAGTTCTAATCCATGTCTGGTAGGACCCGACCCAGCCGCGACCCTGCATTCCTGTCCCCCCCGAACCGGAGGCCTAGGCGAGCCATGACACTTACACGATGCCGTTCCCACAGCGGGTGCACTCGGGGAGCATCTGCAGCCCGGGCATGGCACCACCAAGCTTTGACACCGGGGACTTGACGTTTCGGGGGTTGCTCAGTTTGTCAACTTTTTCACCTGCCAAGAATTTTAAACACAGATTGAGAACTTGTACTCGGGACTATTTTTTTTATGTTTTTCTTTTTTTCTTTTTTTTTTTTTCTTCCTTCTTAAGGGGTCAGATGAGTCTCTGCAGGTCACAACAGAACCTGCAACTTGCTTGTAAGGAAGTAAAAAGCAAATAGTGAGACCAACTACCTCAGAAGTCACACAGCATTTGGTTTCGCAGATGACCACTGGACACTGTGCTGAGACTCTGCTCATCCTAAGGAAGCATGGATCATAGAATCATAGAACATATTGAGTTGGAAGGGACCTTTAAAGCTCATCCAGTCCAACCCCTGCAGTCAGCAGGGACAAAGTTACCAGATCAGGTTGCTCAGAGCCCCATCAAGCCTGACCTTGATTATCTCCAGGGATGGGGCCTCCACCACCGCTCTGGGCAACCTGTGCCAGTGATCTACCACCCTCATACTGAAGAACTTTTTCCTAATATCCAACCTAAATCTACCTTTTTCTAGTTTAAAACCATTACCCCTTGTACTATTGCTACATGTCTTAGTGAACAGATTTCTTATAGGCACCTTTCAGGTATCAGAAGGTCACTATAAGGTCCCTCCAAAGCCTTCTCTTCTCCAGGCTGAACAACCCAACTCTCTCAGCCTGTCTTCAAAGGAGAGGTGCTCAGACCCTTGGGGGCAGAAGACCTAGGCTGCATCAGCAGATGATCTATCACGTACTGTGATAGCACCAACTCAGTACAGATAACTTGTCAAAAGGCAAAGCAGCCTTAATCTAAAGATGAGAGATGAATTTGACTGTGATACTGTTTAGTGAGTTAAAGATAAATAGCAAAAATCTCAGAAAAGCTCTAGAAAGAAGAGGTTCCATCACACCAACATTTCAGATACACTTGGTAGATCCACCATCAATCAAGGACACAAAGATGAAAGCCTTTTGGAGAATTAGGCAAATTTAAACAAACAATAATAGAATTAAATGCAGTTTTCTTCCTAGAACATTAATTCAATCTCAAATAATCCAAAATAAATCATCGTGGTAGAAGATAAAGTCTTCTGGGGCACCAAACCTCCTTTCAAAAAAGGTCCAATGATGAGAACGGAATCCATGAAAATTTTGTGTATCTGAACAACACTGTGGCAAAGTTTTCAGTGTTGCAGCCTCCCTCCCCAGAGATCACCTATCACCTGCCCTTGCACATCAGATAACACAAATCCACTTGCTGCCAACGACTGGGACACTTGAGAGCTTTCAGCATTCACAGCATGGTTTTCCATGGCTCACAACTGTCTGGTCTTTCAGGTATATACTGATCTGTGGTTCCTCTGCGATGGCCTAAGGTTACAACAAGGAAAAGCCCATGAAGAAGGCCAATATATTTTATTCCATCCGCTGACACAGTTTAGAAAAGCAGCAGAGGATGAACAAGCCCTTCTCCAGCATTCAGGCTTCCTACACTTCCTGAACTCCCAGGGTATTTCAGCCCATAGTCAATCTTAAACGTGAGCTTAAAGTTCCCGATACCCAAGAGGTCTCAGCAGGGGCCCAGGCACTTTCTGACCCAGGTGTCTGTATGCTGGAAAACGCCAATGCTGGCTTTGGAAAATTCCACTTGGATTTTGGTCTCAAATGTCCACCACAGCTCCAGGAACATTTCTGCCTTTCCTAGAGTGAACCGTCAGTATCTGAACCAGTGGGCTGTCACTGGTAGTCACTCACTGACACCGTGTAGGTTCACAGGGCATGTTTTGAAGGGCATTGCTCAACAGAGCTTCCTTCCATGGAGAGACCCCTGCTCCCCCATCCAAGACACCTCTGGAGCACCCGCTGTCCTGGGCTTGGCTGGGGAGGAAGGACCATGCCCAACTCTAAATCCCCATGGTTCCCTGGGGATGCACAGGCACCCTCACACAGCAGACCCCTATCTCCATCTGGTCCAGAGACCAAACACAGCCAACAACAGTCCCAGCCAAGCGAATAAAACCAGAACAACTAATCTCCCACTAAACTCCACTTTCTCAAGATATAATATAATGTTTGGGATGCTAAGAGCCTTGATACGTGCAAATCTGCCTGCCCAGGAGTGGACCAGGGCTGCTCCGCCCCAAGCATCCTCCTGTCGAGTCCTTCCACTGTCTTGCTGGGAATAAACCAAAACAACTACTTGAGCTGTTGGCTTCCCCCAGCAAGAGATACAGCACGCGTGGACTAGACACGCTCATCTGCCAACATTTAACAGTTAAGCTGTCACTGTCTCTCAGAGCACTTGGATAAGCTGCTTAAAAGAGAGAAGGGGGGGATGGGATAAGAGATTTTACAGCAAAGCGAGCCCTGCAGAGAGGGCTGCTTCCCATCTTCCCAAACAACGGATCATTTCCTTCTATTTACCAGCCCACAGTCTCATCATAATTTATGGTCCTCAGCAAGGCAGCAAGATGCTTTAACTTCACAATCTTAACCATTGCCATCCCTGTCTGTGGCTGCAGTGCTCATCCTTCCCATGCCAACAGCACCTATGGAGACGACTGCTGTGATTCCCCCAGCCTCCACCAGATTCTCAGCTCCTTAAGGATGGGATGGGGCTGGTGATGCTGAAGAAAATACAGCTTCCAGCAAAAACACCTTCCATATAAAATAGATTGTTGCCTGAGACACCCAGCTTCTTAGAAGAAGAGATCTGGACTTGAAAAGAACAACACACAGCAGAATCGGGCCAAAATGTGTAATGAGGAAATTACATTTCCCATAAGGAAAAAGGAGCAGGAGTGAAAGCTGTAAAACAACCTAGCAGGGACACTCCTGGGGATTTCAACCCCGCTGAAACATCACAGAGCTTTATGCCAAGAGAGGTGCTTTTCACTTAATTTCCCATCCCTTATGAAATAAACACCAACAGTGTCAAAACAGTTGAGGCTCCAGCAAGACCATGCCTGCCATCGATCGCACATCCCCTCTGCATGGCACAGACAAGAGAGAAGGGGTCAGTGGCTCTGAGCCCCTGGCACACAGAAGGGAGGAAGGCAGCAGTGTTATTAATTGGGATTAACACAGTCACTTGCTATTTGCTTCTTCCTAATGAGGAGACCTGGGGGTGCAGCAGGCACTTCTTCGGGAAGCTGCTCGTGCTTGCTCTCAGTGAGGGACCTGAAGATACATCTGGAGCTTGTAACTAACATCAATACTCCTGACAGCCTCGAAGGGGCTGTAATATTTACACCCAGTACTTCCCAGACTGATGCCACCTCATGCCTAAGTACCACTGAGAAAACTACAACTGGTAGCAACTCTTAATGCTCAGAAGTTAAGTTACCTGTGATCATGCTTCTTCTTGTGAAGCAAGAAGCAATATCCTTCTAGTCAAAGAATATCCTTCTCCATCATTTTATACACACAGAAACTGGAGTGTAACAGCCTGACTCACTGCCTCGCACAGCCTCATAATGAGATTTGCAGCAGTTGGTCTTTTCCCATAAAAACTAAGTTCCTGGATTCACATGATCAGAGTATGAGGCTCTTGGAAGGAAGCAGAATGAAGAGTCTGGCCCTAATGATTGTAAAACAAAGCCTGAAAGTTTGAACATGAAAGCCCCAATAGACTTAAGGTTGAAAGGCAAATAAAAAGAAGTTGAAATGTATAGTTTGGGTATCTTATTATTTAATGCTCAGGCTTGGCTCCTTCCCACATTAATGACACAGGCAGGAAGCTGTGACAGACCTGAGAAGTGAGCCAAGAGCTCATGATCTTTATCCCTGCACTGCTGAGGACCATCCCACGTCCTTATGCAAATACTATTTACTTAAACAGGCCTATGGTTCTCCACTGGTTATCTTACACAAACGCTTTAGGCCACCACATTTCATAAACCACCTCAGCAAAACAGCTGCCATGCAGAAGCTGTTTGCAAATCCAACTTTCACATGATGCTGAAGCCTACCACAAAATTTGGTAAGCCACCAGATGCTGACCTGAGCATCTGGAACCCTGATTTGAAGCCTGACACCTGGGTGTTCCCCCTCAAAAGGTGCTTGGACCCTCCCCTGTTAGAGCTGAGCTGCCTTGGCACCGAGGTGATGTAGGATGGGTCCTTCAGAGGCTTTTCAAGCTTCTGGACCTCAGCAAGGGAAGGAGGAGGTGGCTGAGCCTGCAACAGCAACTCAACAGATGTGGGACCATGGAATGAGGTACAGAGGGACCAAATGATGGTTCAAGACCTGCAGCAGTACAGTGCTACAGCCCTGGTCGTAGGGAGGTGTAGGGGCCTCGTTGGGACATGCTATGGGTGTCAACCTCCTTACCATTCTCGCCAGCCTCCAACATGCCCTGCAAGTAGCGGAAGGATCCGGACTGTTTTGGCTCTGAAACGGGCTTTTCATAATCCTGGAGCATCTTGTAGACATCCGACTCCACATCAATCCCATTTCTGTTCCGTGGGAGAGACTTTAAGGGGTCGAGGCTATTTTAAAGAAAAGCAAGAAAGCCCCAAGTCAAATATAAACAGTGATTGTCAGCACTTCAGGGAGGTGCTGAAACCTCCACATTCCCACAGATTCAATTAAACACCTTTCCGTTCCCATGGGTTCCTCTGCCTGGAGGTAACGCCTGTCTCAGGAACAGCCACTGAACCAGGGAAGTTAAACTCTGATTGAGTAACACAGTGAGGGCTAGCCCAGTTACCAGATGCCTCCAGGAAAGAGAGCAGCTGCTTACAAGCACTGTAAAATGCTCTGACACACATGGAATTTATTGAAAAAATGGCTAAAACAATGCTTTTCATTGGTTATGTAGGGCCAGGGGACCCACCCACCCCTCATATCACTGTCAGAGCATTCAGCACAGGGAGAACGGGTGCTGTTGCCAGGCACAGGCATGACAGCAAATCCTCTTGCCACCCACAAATGCCTCTTTGAAGTTACTGTTTGTGTAGGAGAGTGCATTAAAAGATCCATTTGCCAGACACAGCACACAGCTCAAAGGAGAAAACCACACCACTGGGCTGCTCAGTGCCAAGGACAGGACACAAGAGCAGCCTCATAACTCTCCTCCCAACCATGCACCCACCTTCAGCACCCAGACCTGAGTCACATAATGGTTTGGGATGGAAGGGACCTTAAAGCTCACCCAGTCCAACCCCTGCCATGGGCAGGGACACCTCCCACCAGACCAGGTTGCTCAAAGCCCTGTCCAACCTGGCCTTGGACACCTCCAGGGAGGGGGCATCCACAACTTCTCTGGGCAAATGTCTCAACATCCTCACAGTAAATAATTCCTTCCTAATACCTGATCCAAATCTCTCCACTTTCAGTTTGAAACCATTACCCCTCATCCTGTCACTCAATGCTCTTGTAAAAAGTCCCTCTGAAGCTCCTCCTTGTCTGTATGTGGTATGACTAGGGTACAACAGACAACAAATTATTCCGGTTCATTCAATACATCAAAACATGAAAAGCGTAGTTTGGAATCTAAAATATTCTGGGTACATGTTTAAGTGTCCTGCTGAGCAGAGGCGAATTCAAGTGCTGTTTTGCTTTGGTGAGGCCCCACAGCACAGCTTCATGGGAAGGGGCTCCTTTTCCTTTTTAAGGAGAAGGTCATCAAGGTCATTATAAAAAAAAAAAATAAAAACAGCAAGAGCCCTGAACCCCATCAGATTGCTTAACACACTCTAGCCATCATCTGACTCACTTCCCACTTTAAAAAAAAAGAAAAATAAAATTCACTTTCAAACAAAAAAGAGGAAAAAAACCCAAACAAAATTCACTTTCCAAAAAAAGCCAAAGTTCCGTTTTCCAGGAGAGACCTGATGGGTCCTCCTGCAGCTCTGATGGCTATGACCTCTCAAGACGAGGGGCAGAAGTGCCACTGCCAATGGGCTCCTGAGGCAGCTGAGGACCCAGCCCCACAACACCCTGGCCAGTCAAATGCCTCCACATGTGCCCGAGTGACCATCTGACCTGCTACAGTCCTCCCATACATCAATTCACACAGTTTTCAGTGAAAAAGGGCAGGTTTTGACCAGCCCAACCTGATTAAGCACAAATTCAAGGAGAATGCACTTCTGACCCAGTTTTACTCCAACACCCAAGCGAATCTCCTGGCTTTTGGCTCACACGCAGATAACGTCAGATTTTGTTCTCTGTATTTTTTTTGTTTGGTTCTCTTCTTTCCAACTCCATTAACTTTCCCGGAGCAGCACAGGGAATAAGCTGGCTCACAGCATCACTGACATATGAATGCGTGCAGGCACAGAGTTCCTGAGCTGAAAAGAAACTTTCTTAACTTTTTGTATTCAATACAGATGCTACTTTCCTGCAGAATATTTTGCCAGTATGGAGGAGCATAAATCAGCAGCAGCATAAGCCATGTGAAAGTATTGCAGTCCACAACCTGGCGTTAATCCCAGCCTGGGGACGGGATCTGATGCTGCTAATCTATCTACCCCAATCGGCAATGGAAGGAGCTTACCTGGGTCTGGAAAACCTTGGACATTGCTCGAGCTTCACAAGCTTAAATTCAATGTTGCAATTGCTACATACACACACATACCTATTTTGTTTAGGACTTGGTAACTCCAAACCCTCTTTTATTTAGGGTGTTGGTTTTGTTGGGGTTATTTTCTCCCACCTATCCTTGACTAACGGAGCAGGAGCTGAACCCAGCATCTCTGGAGCTCCAGGAGCACCATAGCCTCAAACACCCCTGAAAACAAGTTCACATCAACAACAGCAGGATCCAGAGCGTAAGCCATGCTCTGAGTAATAGCACCAGTAAACTGGGACACGTGATTGGGAAAAGCCAACGTGGATTCACCAGGGGCAGATCATGTTTAACAAATCTGACTGCTTTCTATGATGGAGTGACCCATTCGGCTGATGCAGGGCGAGCAGTGGACGTTGTCTACTTGAGCTTCTCCAAGGCTTTTGACATGGTCCCTCATAGCCTTCTCCTTAGAAAATTGACAAACTACAATGTAGATCAGTGGTCTGTGCAGTGGGTGGGGAACTGGACCCAGAGGTGGACTGTACCCAGAGGGTGGTAGTAAATGGTTCATTCTCTAACTGGCAACCAGTCACAGGTGGGGTCCCTCAGGGATCAATATTGGGCCCGATGCTATTTAATATCTTCTTTAGTGATCTGGATGTTGGGATCAGGAGCTCCTTGATGAAGTTTGCTGATGACACCAAAATGAGTGGGGTGGTTGACACTCCAGAAGGGGGAGCCACCCTCCAGGAAGACCTGGACAGTTTGGATGAGTGGGCTAGCAGGACCTGTATGAAGTTAAACACGGACAAATGTAAGGTCTTGCATCTGGGAATACCTAATCCAAGAATGCAGCCGAGACTGGGCTCAACCTGGCTCTGGGGAAAGGAACCTGGGAGTGTTGGTGGATGACAAGCTCAACATGAGGAACAGTGTGCTGCAGCTGTAAAGAAAGCCAGCAGGATGCTGCGTTGCATTAAAAAGGGCATCACCAGCAGAGATAAAGAAGTCATTATCCCTCTCTATTTGGCACTGGTCAAACCACACCTTGAGTACTGTGTCCAGTATCGGTCCCCACTATACAAAAAAGATGCAGACAGGTCAGAAAGGGTCCAGAGAAGGGCCACAAGGATGATCAGAGGACTGGAAGACTTGCCATACGAAAGGCTGAGAAAACTGGGCCTGTTCAGCCTTGGGAAGAGAAGGCTTAGCGGGGACCTTATTACCATGTACCAGTACATAAAGGGTGGCTACCAAGAAGATGGGAGACTCCCTTCTAACAAGGAGTCACATGAAAAAGAAGAGGAGTGATGGACACAAGTTGCTTCTGGAGAGATTCCGATTGAACTCCAGAAGAAATTTTTTTACCATGAGATCAATCAGATATTGGAACAATCTCCCAGGGGAAGTCGTGAATTTCCCTGCATTGGTCAGTTGTAAGAGTCAGCTTGACAGGGTGCTGACTCACCTCATTTAATCTATACTTTTACCTTGAGAGGTTGGACTGGATGATCCTTGTGGTCCCTTCCAACCTGGTATTCTATGATTCTATGATTCTCTCATCCTACCTGTAGGCAGGAGCGATGTGGAGCCCACTCAGCTGGCCTGGCAGAGCTGACTCAGAGCCACTGTTGGTGTAGAGCCGGGTCGGGTGGTGATGCTGCACATTCAGCATCTGCTTGTTGTCCACGGGGCTGCCCCCAGCCCCATGGGGCATCGGCCTCCTGCTCTGGGCAGGTCCATTGTCCTGGAAGAGAAGAAAAAGCAGAAAAAAAACCCAGTGAGATTTATAGTTCTTGGTATGATATACACAGCAAGACTGCGTTGGGATGTGCAGTTTACAGTAATAATATTTTATATGTACTATGGAAAACAGAGATATGCAGCAGGAAAGGGAAAACTCAGACTCAACCTGCAATTAAATCTTGCTCAATCTATGCAAGCTTTCCTTGGTCTCCAACCAAATGAACTTGCCTGCTTCTCCATGGTGAGCCACTGCCAAGTATTCTGCATTTATTCTCCTGTAAAAGCATATTTGTTATTTCCGCAAAAGAAAGGCTGCGAGTCTGCTTCTCATTTTGGGTTACATCACTCCAAGAGCACTTATCGCTCTCCTGACTTCAGGGCAATCATTCCTGATTTGCATTCACGAAACATGATAAAACCCAAGCTCTGCAGCTACGTGTACAGATTGGGCAAGACCTGGAGCCAAGGGGCCAACCCTGGTGTCTTCACTTACTTGCAACTACCCTCATCCACAAAGATCCATGTTCGTTTTGGGAGGTTTTCTACCAAAATAAGATCAGTCCTTAACAGTCTGAGAAACGTGCTGGTCAAGGGCTGAGCTTGGCATTCATATTTTTATTGGCTTTTTAATTCCCAAGGCAAACTACGGAAATCTTTTTGCCATATGACCTCAAGTCAGGAACTCAGATGCCATTAAAATGCAAGCTTTCCATATTATTTTACTTACATAAAATATTACCAACGTGTTTTTCCAAAGCTTTGTTAGTCACACCCATAAATCCAACAGTACCTAATGCTAACCTTGCCATGAGCTGCTGAAACCAGGCTCTACCCTGCTAACACAGCCTGGGGAGCAGTCAGCTAGGGGCTGAGTCCAGGTATCGGGGAAAAGCAGCAGAAAGCCAGACACAGTCTAAGGACATGTCATGCAAGTCAGAAACATGCCCGCACGCATGGAAGAAAGAGATGCTTGTATAAGAGGCTGTAATCTGTTTAATCTGGTTTAATCTGTTTCAGGGCAGGTCCCCAGTGATGCTGCCTTGCACCGGTTTTTCAGGAGCCTGAAGCTGATGTAAAACCAAGCAGGAAAAGAAAACTCTGTCCCGTGAACAAACAACAAAGTACATATTGAGGGGCTCTAATACAGAGCTTACTTTTGACTAAAATAATCCAATAAATAGTAATTGGAAACAAATGTCTATCACTGATGCATAGCAGAAAACACTGGCGTTCCCCAGCCTTGTAAAAATGAACAGCTAAAAGAAATAAAAACCAGATCCTGCTAGAAAAAGACCTTGAAAGTCCAACCCTTCAGTTCTTCCTAAGGCAAAACTCCTATTGATAAAAATCAGGCTTAATTAAGGACTGCAAAACGGTGCCCTTGAGTTTTTTTTTTTTCCCAACAGCTGAAAAATTGCAGACTTTAGCAAGCTCCTGGCACTTCTGTCACCTTGAAAACCTTGGTGGCTGCCCCGAGCCCTCTTGGCACCAGCTCTTCCATACCGTGCTTGCACACATACGTGGGGAAAGCTGCTTCCAACATAATAACTTCAGATTGCCTATTAAAAGAAGGAATTTTGCTGCCAGGGATAATACAATTTAACTGTCCTCCAATTTATATTCTTAAAAATAAATAGATAAGTAAATAAATAAAAAAAAGTTATGGGTTTCCTATTTGCAGATTTACATTCTTATTTTAAGGGAAATAAGGGAAACATTTTCAGCTGTGACACAGAGGAAAAGAAGGTTCATAAACATTTTAGGGGAAAAAAACCAAAACAAAACAACAACAAAAAGCAGTAGTCCATGCTACCTGGCAGGCCACTGCAAGCTACAGAGCTATGCTTTTAAAAAGCCATTATCATTAATTAATGAGGCCCAGATGCACACTTGGTCCTGCAGAGGACAGGCAGGTTCCTCTGCTCTTCTGTCTACTGGCCCGATGGGCTTCTCCGTACTGGGGACATCCAGGCTCTTCACTGGGGAGCACAGGGCCAGCAGCTATTTCTGGAATGAAAACCTCCTCCATCAAAGGGCCCAGAGACCATAATCTCCACAGACTTACTTTAATCTGAAGTAGCTCGTAAAGCATTGGCCATTTGTTCCCATTAAGATCAGCAATTTGTAGATCAAGAGCAAATGTTGCTATAAAGCTAAGACTTATTGCTTGGGCACTCTCCTAAAGGAATGCAAGCCTGGTGGTGGAAACGGGGTGTTTCTGGGCCCCCCATGCCCTGCAGAACTGTTCAGCATCCCTAGTCACCACTAGCTCTCATCCTCCCATCGAGGAGGATGCTCGTGGTGGTGGCAGCTCCCAATGACATCTGTTCAGCCACGGATGACCTAGTCATGGCCGGGGGGATCAACAGGCTCATCCTGATGGCCACCAGAGTATTCCTGCTACCCTAGCACCTACCAGACCAAGACCAGCAATGGATGTCCCTCAGACTTTTCCACAAACTTCTTTCCAAGCTTTGGTGGCTTTGTGCCAGGGGCAGCCAACGGCTTTGCAGGAAATGCACAAAGTATTGACCCCTCTGAGAGCACACCAGTCTCTGCCTTCCTTGTCGCTCTCAGTTTCTGTGCTACATAACTTTGCTGTTGCACAAAATGCTGTTCCCAGGACCGAGCTCAGTCTCCCTTTTCTCATCTCAAAGTAGGTTTCAGCCTTGTCCCATGAGACCTCTGCAAGGCTTTGCATTGCATAAAAACACTCACACATTTGTTCTCAGAAACCTAGAACCAGATGGATTTCTTTCCGCTTCTCAAATTCAAGATCAGAAAAAATTCCCCCCCTTCAGGAATGATTTGCTTTTCTCTGCTGGCTTTTCTTTCTGCTTTTTATGGACTCTCTTAAATTAAGACGGTTTGCAAACCCTTCCTAAGAGCCAGCCTCCAAAGTTTCATTGAGGGGAACTTTTTCAGTCTATGAAACAAACTCGCAGTCTGTTTTCTCATGCTTGTCTTCTAGGACCATCAATTACAAGGCGTAACCAACCTCCTGACACGCAGTGCTGGGAGCTCCTGGAGCCCAGGCCTCCCCTTCCTGGCAAACATGATGCACGCAGCTGTCCCACACCAGATAAACATGAGGCAGAACTAGAAAGGAGCTGTGCGAAGTCCCAGTTTCCAGAAGCAGGTGAGTTTTGGGGTGGTTTTGCGTGCAGTTGCAGAATGGTAGGGCAGCATAACGTGGTCAGTGCCCAGGCCAGACCAACCTTCTCTGGTCACTGTCTTGTTGGAGAACCCCAGCCTGTTCCTTCCCACTGGGTGACGGAATGAGCAGAGGAAAAGGGATTATTTGGAGGAGGATGAGCCACTGCAAACAGAAGAAGACAACCTGCACTTGCCTTGGCCACCTCTTGCACAGCCTCATCAAACCACCTTCTCCTCGAGATGCGTTTATCAGCGTTGCACAAACACAGCCTGTGTCTTATCGCATACAGGTAAGGGCTGCCCTTACTGATGCAGTATTTATATCCTGAGGAACTACTTCCAGCAGAAGGAAAACACAGCATGGCATCCAGGAGTGTTTCTCTTGGCAGGAGGCGCTGGAAGCTGGGGCAGCCGTATCTCCACTGCAGTGGTAGGAGCAGTGCTGGCAGCAAGCAGCACCTTGATCCAAGCTGCCGTTGGATCCAGCCATCAGGCACGTGGGTTGGCTACTGGGGCTGAGGTACTGCATTTCTTTCCACTGACCCTCGGACCCTAACAGCCAGATGCCATCAAATTTGCTTGCACTGAGCAGTACTTCTCTCTGTGCAGTCTCAAGCACGTTCTTGGGTACCACTATTGATTAATGTAAGAGAAAAGAAGAAATTTAACTGGTTTTCAGATGCCTGGCTTTTGTCCCCAGCACACAACGCAACATAGAGCGCACAAATTTTCCTTTTATATTTAAGGGAAAGATGCTGCATGACAGGTCACTTGGATTTAATCCTGGGAATTCCTCAAAGAGCTGGAAACAGGGAGAGCTTTTTTTTCCCCTCCTATAAGCACTTACTCAATTTCTAGCAAGTCCCTCTGTTCCATGCATGCTTAGCAGCAAATCTCTTCTTTTCTCTGAAGGTATTTCATTTCGCTACAGCATGATGCCTGGACACAGCCAGCAGAGCTATGAGCACCATCAGCAAAGTTATGAAGCTCCAATGTGTTTCACAGGACATACTGTTCCCAATTTTGGGAAATGTATAGTGCAGCATTAAAAGAAACAAGCTGAAGATTTCAACAGAAATACAACTATATTCTGTGGCTTCACCATGCAGAGTTAACACGTACTCTAGGTAATATGAAGATAGGCTTTGCCTACGCATTGCAGTTGTGCCCCTGATTCTGCTGGAATTGAGGTCATTTCAGGATTTTTGGTCAATCCTATAATAGACCAGAAGACTCAAAAATTGGTAACTTATTTCAGCAGTTATTAGCTTGATGGAAGTGTTCCCATAAGTAGGAAAACATGCAGCCAACCAGGAATTTTCAAAAGCTTTGAAAATCGGTTTCTGCCCCTGTCTCTTTCAGAAAGAGTTTATCATATTTTGAAACCATCTGTTGCAGAGTCAACAAAAAGCATAAACTTCTTGTGATTTTTGAAGTACATCAAGGCAAGCACACCATTTCAGCTGCCTGCTTAACAGGAATAACGTTGGGATCCACAGCTGGGAAGAGTTTAATTCATGGATTTAAATGTGCGACATGAGACATGACCTCTCAGAGTTTTGGGAACTGGCATTTGTATTCTGATACACTTTGGCAAAATACACCGAGCCTTACTTTCCTAAAGTTCGACCATGTTGCTGCCTCAAGTTCAGTTATTCTTAAGGATTATTTTATTTTATTATTTTATTTTATTTTTTATTTTATTTTTTATTTTATTTTTACATTAATGCCCTATTTGTCCTTCTAGGCTTTTTTATCTATGAGTCTTTAGCTCTAGAGATCACAGCTTTTAGACACAGCTTTAGAGAACATCAGACTACATGTTCTGATCCAAAGCCTTTAAAG